TTTGACAATTTCATGTTCCCCACTTTGTGTGAACAGTTTGGGGATGGCCCCTTCCTGTTCCAACATGACTGTGCACCAGTGCACAAAGCAAGGTCCATAAAGACATGGATGAGCGCATTTGTGGTGGAGGAACTTGACTGGCCTGCACCTCAAACTGATAGAACACCTTTGGGATGAATTAGAGCGGAGACTGCGAGCCCGGCCTACTCATCCAACATCAGTACCTGACCTCACAATGCGCTTCTGGAAGAATGGTCAAACATTCCCATAGACACACTCCTAAACCTTGTGGACGCCTTCCCAGAAGAGTTGAAGCTGTTATAGCTGCAAAGGGTGGGCCAAGTCAATATTGAACGCTACGGACTAAGACTGGGATGCCATTAAAGTTCATGTTATCGGTACTCGTACTCAGATCCAAAAAAGTGGTATCGGTGCATCCCTAATATATATATATACACACACACACACAAATAGGTTGAACTAGATGGACCCTTGTCATTATTCAACCTCACCTACAATGTCACTATGCATTCCTCCGGATGCTACATATGAATCAGTACAGGTAACTACATTGGCCCAATCTAACTTTTAAAAAAAGGGGCTTCTTGGAGTTTCGCTTGAAGTCAGTTATCCTCTTTTTTTTCCATTTCTTTAATCTCAGTGATGAGAAGTGGAAAACTGATTTGGTAAACAGCAGCAGCATGCAGTCTTGTTAGCAGAGGGAAAACAAAATCATGATTTTAAAAAAAAAAACCAGAGGAAGAGAGGAGTCTGCTGGCAGGTGAGTAGAAAAACCCAGAGCCAGGCAGGAGATAAAAGCAGAGTGCTGTCTTCCCGGGCCAAGCGTTCTATATTTCACATCAATCCCAGCATATAGATGTGCAAAACACGATCCTAAAGACAGGATAAATGAGGGGGAGTGCAGGCTCAGACACACTGTACATCAGCTAACAATAAATGCCAGTGGATCCACAGCAGAGCCCGGGAGCTGGGTCCTGTGCTATGGAAGTAAAGCTGCAGCTTTCATATCACATGCAGGGAAGACACATCGCGTAGCATCAGAGATTGCTTCACCAAGCACTTGTAATGCTCGCTAGATCCAGGCAGCAATACATAACGAGACACAGTGCGGGAGATGTGGCTTTTATAGGGGAAGGAAAACTACAGAGCATCTCAAAAGTATTCAGATCCTTGACCGATTCTCTCATTTTACTGAACAACAAATGCTATGCTGAAAATGACGTGTTCTGTTATATTTTTATTTCAAAGAATAGAAACTCAGATTTAAAAAAGAAAACAAACTGTTCTAAACCTCAACTGGCTGACATTATTCTGCTAAGAAAAAACACATTTAAGAAGTGCTGGAATTTAATGCTTAAGGTGGCAGTAAACTGTCAAATGTTATTTTAATAACGTATCCTGATCCAGTGGCGTCACAAGGGGGGTGCAGGGGTGACACCAAAATGACTGGCAGTCATTTTGGTGTCACCCCCTCTAAAAAGTGGGGCACTCGGTCATGGTGTCACCCAGTCTAAGGACCGTGTGACACCCGGCCTCGGGACGCCCCTGTCCTGATCAAACAAATATTGTGTTAGTTCTTTATATTTTTGCCCAAGCACTTACAGTTGACATGTTTCCAAACAGCTCCAAATCTCTCAGCTCAGCTTCCCCAAACTTCCTGTCTAGTACAAGATCCCAACGGATGGAGCAGTCATCCATCTACTAGCAGGGAGCAGGGGAGTAGCTTGTCTTGCTGTGTCTCTGTGTTTATGGGGACACACAGCTTACTAGCACACACAAGGCTGACTCCAAAGGACAATGCAAGGTAAAGGAGCCACCCTAAAACAGGATAGCAGGGCCAGTGGTCAGGGAACCATTTGATTCTGCAAGAAACTTAAAACGTTTAAACATCAAGAAGCAGCATCCATTGTAAATGATTTCATCAGCATTTTGAATGTAATATCATTTCGAAATGCAAGGAAATCTTCAAACAAGACCCAATCCTAAAGAAGCTTTTACACTAGATATAGATCCATTAGGTTATTGTTACCATTGAGTCCATTCAAGTCTCCGTTACATTCTTGTAAGCCCTTATGAAGGGAGATTTTTTTTGTTGCCCCAGAAAAGTGTTGGCTGTTTTTATGTGGTAGTATTACAAGCAGATTAGTTCAAGAAGTACTGGGTTGCATTACCAGACGACATTTTTATTTTTTATTCTAGAGAATACTGTTTTTTACATTAATTGCATCTTTTTTGTATCTGTGCTGCTGATTTCCACCGCCCACTTTAGATCACTTCCTGTCTACATGCAGTCACTCCAGTGTTGGCTGCATATGTATGTTGTCTGAGGAACAGGAGGTGAGGGGAAACCTTCCAATGGGGAAACATGTGTTCCAGTGGGAGAATTCACCTAATATTTAAGGTACTTGAATGCATTTTTAAGATTTTACTCCTGAGTTTAGTGTCACTTTAAATGTGATGCTGTTTATAATAATGTATAGCAACCCTGTAACAATGTTACACCCAGCACAGTAAACCTGATGCCATACAGTAGGCACCACGCTATTTCTCCCTGGACAGTCTCACCCAACTGCTGGAATTGCTGCAGCCCCCAAAAGTCCTCTGCAGATACCAGTCATGATTTTAATAGGTCTAGATCCCCTCTCCTATGTTCTGGTGTTGGGTCACATATTGTAGGAGGTGGGGTGTACATGTATGGTACACAGACATCATTTCCAATATTTTCCCATTTTGTAAAGATAAAAAAAAGCAAAATTGTGTATTGTTTTTTCAAAGCCTGAAATTCACAGGTTTTCTTTTCCCATTTGATTCATAAAGGCCCCCATATCCTGCCTCATGTAACCGGCTGATTTAATCACCAAAAGCAGAGACGTGTCAACAAGAAAAGGAAATGCAGGTGTTTTCAATCAGTGAACAGAACGATTGTGGTTTGAGCTAATGAGTCATAGGCAGCGTCTACATACATCTACATTTCAAGAAACCTAGAGAAGTGAAGAGCGTGTAAAACAATTAAGACAAATAACATGTGCCTCTTGTAATCACATCCCTCCTTCTGCCTGGTGAATCTCCACTTCTAAGACGTCTTTGGATGCTTTGAGTACGTTTTCTGAGATAAATGCAGCATAAAATTCATACAGATATCATTAATATAATTGTCTTCATTTATGTCATCGATGGTCTCACGTTGATTTGCAATTTTTAGTTGGGAGTCTGTCTTTGCTTTATATGAACAGACCATTAGAAATTAACTTGTTGTGTTCTGTAAACCATTGGACCACCTCTTCTTTCCTGTCATTAACATAGTTCAATCAGGTTAATTTACTAAAGACAGTGTGGCAGTGTGTCGCACTGCCATGCAAGATGCTGGCAACGCAGACACCCAGGACTCTCAGCCAGAGGGGCTGAGCAGTTCCAGGAGGCAAGTTCTTGCACTGGGAAAGTGCTTACTTTGCAGCTCTTCCCCGGATTTCCGGATTTGGCATGGGATCCTGGAACTGGGAGATTTCTGAGAGAATTGGGAGGGATGAAATCTCCATTCCTGGGTACATGCTTTAGTGGCAGGCAGCACCTGATTATGCACCTGTGTGCATCCCTCATGAGGAGGGTGCTGGAGTGTGTTCAGGGCTCCTGCTGGGAATAGGGACAGGTTGTGTCCAGGGGTCAGGCGGACTCCACCCAGAAGCCAGAGTGAAGCCAGGAGGCTGTGTATGTGTTGGGAGGCACATGGAAGGCAGCCAAGGAGGCTTGGAGAGCCTGTGACACACAAGGGTTGTGTGGAGGAGTCGCACTAGAGGTGTGGAAGGCTGCTAAAGGGTAAAGCATACTTCTAAGGAGTCTTGCTGATGAAAAACTTAACAGTCCTAGGACACATCAGAGTATATGTGTCACATCTTTCTGCCTTGAGGAAGGGACCCTGCGCGGTCCCGAAACGCCGGTTTATTTGGATGTCTGTGACGCTTTTTGTCCAATAAAAGGGACATATTTATCTTTACTACTAAGTGCTGGTGATTTCCTGACTTTCCTGTGTTTGCACGGCGCCATCCGTGGTATCTCATCACTGCGAGCACCACTTTTTTCATATCTGGCCGGGACTGCTGTGAGGAGTGCGGAGGGTCTCTACATCTACTTGCATCTTTATACGTAATTCTTTAGCATGGCATGTGAATGCAACTTTTCGGAGCTCCACAAGACCCCTTCGCCAGGCAAAGTGACACTTGTATGCTGTGGCACCATCCACCAGTTGTTCCAGCACCTGTCGGATTCAGGGGTATAACGGTACGGTGTGCGAAGAGGATATTACAAACAAAAGTCAAGCAAAACAGATGACAAATGCACTCATCAATTCGTCACCAGCTTTACAGCAAGGTGCACACGGAATGGGCTTTAAACAGTAAAACAGCAAAAAGTGCTCCAAGATGGAGGCTCTGATAGTTTAGAGTTAGGACCGCGCTATAAGAGGTGCCTTGGCGCTGCTGTGCGGCTTTCACATTTTCTGCAGAAGACGCCGAGAGACATACCATGGCTGAAGTGGAGGAGGCAGACTTCAGGGACTGGTCCAACACCCAGTAGGCTGCAGGGTTCGGGTGAGTATAACTTTGATATTTTCCTCCTTAGATGAAAACAAGCACATAACCCTTGCAAAGCAGGGGTAGCCCCACTGCAAGGATTACGAATATTTATACCCCCGGATTTTTCTTTAAAAAAGGTTTCCTCAATGGATCAAACATGGTCAAGGGTAATGTAAAAAAAGGACAACATTTCTGATGTAAGAAAAAGTAGAAAAGCTATCACTGTAAACTGAGAGGTGCCCAACATAACAACAATGCTGTAGTGCAGACACCTTGTGGTGCCCCCAAAGGACCCTGTATTTTCTGTGTGGAAAGGTTCTGCCACTTGGTCATTTTAGATGCAGACAGAGCTTGGTGAAGGCCATCAATAACATAGGGCATGAACAACAGACATATTTGTTAAAAACATACCTTGGTAATGGCAGATAAAAGCTCCAAAGCCTTTGATTGTAGAGTGGAATCGTGGCTCTCTATAAACAGCTTCAGAGATGTCAACAGCATTGAGTGCTCTAATAACAGTGTACAGATCGCATCAACACACTGAAAGAAAAAAAAAATGACAATACAAATAACAGTATAATTGATTCACCTGTAAAATAAATAATGTAAAAAATGTTTTTATTTTTTGTTGTCCTTTTATTATGTCTAAAATTTAGCTGCCTTGGAGTATTATAAGCCCCCTTAGACAGATCATTTTAAAAAAAATAGTGCCTGAACAACCTCATTTTAGCAATCATTTTTGCTTTTACAGACTAGAAAATTGTCTGGCGTGGACATTATTCTCATCTGTTTACTAACGTATGGTACAAATAAAACCTTTGGCAATCTTTTTTTAAGAAACCGTCATGGAAAGGATCACAAAATGACCTTCACTATAGCATGTTTTGCATTTTTAGTTTCCTTTTGATACAGTAATACATTTTGCAATGTACTCCTGTAATTAAAAAAGCACCATAAGCTTACATATATAGTGTGGGCGGGGTAAAATCTCTGTGCTGAGAAGCTATCCAGACAATATAATCTGGATCTTCCTCTGCCACTGAGTGACAGCAGCTTGAAGGACCTGCTGCAAGTTCATGAAAACCTTTGCAGACGCTCAGGGCTCATCCTATCAGAGTTTATCCATGTCAGGTCACAGGTCTACGAACCCTAGCACATCCATCCTGCAGTTTGTCTTTCGTTCCCCCTTCCCCTCTACTCTCCACACTCCTTTCTCCAGACAATACACATACCGCATGGGCACTAAGCCTGTCAGTTCAGCTTCATCCTCGCCCCCTCTCCTCCACTCTTGTGTCTTTATCTCTTCTCCCTGTGTATGTCCCAATACAACAGAGTGGAGGAGAGGGAGGCGAAGACGGAGCTGAGCTGACGGTCTTAGTGCCGATGTGGAATGCGTAGTCTGGAGACAGCAGGCTGGAGGGGAAAGAAAGGGGGAACGAAAGACAAACTGCCAAATGGATGTGCAAGTGTTCGTAGACCTGAGCCTGACATGAATAAACTTCTCATGAACGTATACATGCAGGGCTGTCCCTATAATGGGCAGTCTGAGATGGTTCATCTCTATGGGTCACATGGGGAAGTGGTGGCTTCACGCATGCCCCCTTTTCCGCCCAGAGCGCCCCAAGCTGCTAAGAGCTCTTAGCAACCTGGGATGCTCTGGCCAGTCTCTCGGCTCAGCTCCTGGCAACCAGTGATATCAGTGAGCTGGGCGAGACGTTAGACAGAGCTGAAGGCCCCTTTGTTCCACCTCTGTAATGTGCATAGGAATGACCTGCCCTTCCCCCACCACAGGCACTAAATCGTCGAGGGGCATCCCTGTATACATGGATGGTGGAGGCTTTGATCTATGTGTAGACACTGTAACTTTGCCCTGAATGAGCAAACTGGCAGCATCTCCTTAAGAACATCAGCTTTTCCCATTGTATCTTCACTTGATCCCAGTGAAGTGCAGATAATATTAAGACTTTAGGGACGGGGTGTGCCAGAGAAATGGGGGATTTAAAGCGTACGTCAGTACAAAAAAAATAAGATATCACTGCAATACATGCACATTTTCCATAGGCATAGTAACTAGGGGTCAACCAATAATCGTATAATTTGCACCGATAATCGGGGGCCGATCTTCATAATTTTTTTAATGATCAGTATCCGTTATATTTACTGATAATTAAGGTGGCCCTACACAAATTTTGGCTGGTTCTTGAAGAACCGGCTGAAATTCGCACAGTGGCACCCTTTCAGCCCACATCCGGGGATCAGCTAATCGAAGGAGCTGGTTGGAATATCTTTGTATGAACAGAGCCACAGTCTATGAGCAGCTGACTCTGTTCAGGCATTCTGACAGCAGGGATTCCTTGTTCTCTTTGGCAGAGGAGGAGAAAAAGTAAACTCTTCGAACAAAGTTTTATGGATTCTGCTACAGAAGACAGTGTTAACATAGGTGGCAAGTGTGTTGTTCTGACCTTTTACACCAGACTTTTACCTTGGTAAAACAAAAGCCAGCTAGCAGAGTTAACCGGATGGGAAATCAAAGAAAACTTTCAAACTGAAACACTTCACTGGCTCATTTGCAGATTTAAAAATGGGAAATAGTTCCACATTCAAAGACCTAATTAATTCCATTTGCTTTTTCTGCATGCACAGCCTGCATTTAAATAGGTTATTAATGAAGGGCACTTTCAAGGCCAAGGCAGTCCGATGATAAATACAGAAACCTTTGAGCAGAGTTACTTCGGTAGAAAAGTTTCAGGTGTGAATTTGAATTATTGAACGCGGTATACGGTGATGTTACACTGAAATAATAGGCAGCTGGATCTGCATTGAAAAGATGGGAAGACGAAGTTCTTAGTTCAAAGTAATGGCGGGTCATTCCATAATCATACATTATGCAAACCAAATTATGTGTCTGGCGGACATACTGCTTCCTGTTACAGTTAGTTCTTACTCCTGTTAGTTCAAATGATGGAAGCGATTTATGAATATTATTTAAAATTTAGGTATAAATGTAACTCTACAAAGACACAAGAGTTGCAATACAAAAGGCACGGGGGAAGCAGATTCACAAACTGGCATTTACTCCATCAGAAGACAATAGTTGTCAGAATAGCATGAATTGGTATCCAAGGCAGGTGTGACAATGCAACACCAGTATACACATGTGCAAAGTGCAAAAAATCTACCTAACTACATACAAACTATATACAAACAGAGGAAATCAGATACAGCAAGGGCAGGAGGGGGAGGGGGTAAAACGAGTGGCAGGTAACATGGATCAGGTATAATGATGTGCAGGGGTCGGGTGCAAACCCAGTTCTCTGGGGCTTGCCTAAATCTGACTCTGGCTTAATCAGTTGCAGCAGGGGCATTCCCCACCCCCCTTTGTGATGTGTAGCTGTGGGGCAGGTAATGCCCCTGCCGGAAATCATTAGGCCAGGGGGGGTGTTGTGCCAGTCACAGTTTAGAACAGGGTTTAGGTGAACTCTGGCAAACTGGTTTTGCACCAAGTCCCTGCATATCATTGGTCAGGAAAACAGCCAGAATGGGGGTCAGGAGCAGAAGCTATGTCACATCCTGTACACGTAGTCTGAGCCTACAGAACTACATTTTCCAAGAGCTCCCAGCTACACCAACATTCGGTAGTTCATTACAAGGTGGTAAACCAACCCTTTAAAGCAGAATTCAGGGCTGCAGAAGACAAAGTTTAATGGAAAAAAAACCCTGAACATGCAGTAAATAACCTTTACTTATTAAAATAAATTGTGAAGGTATCGTAAAAATGTTCCTCTAATATTAGGTCACATGATCTGGCCATCCTAATTCTCCTACTGCTTAGGAGGAAGGGTCAGTGCAGAGGTTTTAGTTAACATATGATGTAATCACATCACCAGGAGGACATTGGCTCTGGAAAACACTCAGCATGGAGGTGCTATTCTCTCATTCAACCTCTAAGAGGTTCTAAAGTCACCAATGCTCAGCCTCCACTGTGCATCCTGAGACATGGTAGCACCATAAGTGGAGAATCGCTTTCATATTATACCAGTGCGACCATTACAGCCCATTGGAACTACTACCTAGATATATCAAGAAAGCAGGACTGAAGGGTATTGATTGCTACAAACGAACAACTCCTCACTGCTATTTTTTTTTTTTTAAACAATCCTTATCATATCTCATTTGTACAGCTGCATCTATAATTACAGAAAAACATGAAGAACAGATTTACTGTTCAGTTCACAATTGATCTCTGTTTCCGTGAATAACGCTTTGAAGATCTTGTTAACTTTTGTTGAAGTCATGCAGAAGGTTAAAACAAAGGACACCAGAATCTTACATCAGTCTTCTAAAGCTTCAGGTATGCCAATATTATTTTATTAATAGCTTTGTTAATTATCACTTCATGATAAGATTTTAAAAGAACGGGCTTTTTAGCAGAAAGAAGCCGATAGAAGAGGAAAGTGTTACTGGAAACTTTAAAAGAGTACTACCTCTATAATAAGAATACTATACATTAGATTCAATGTTGTACTACAGAAACAGGTCTTCACTAACTGAAGGAATATTGGTTTTCCATTCTTTTTAAGCAGATCTAAAAAGAAAGATTATCCCAGTTATTTTATTATTCAGTCCGAGAGATATGATCCAAAAGGGTAGGGGAACAGCTGGCAACTTTATCTTTCTACTGTGATAATGAGAATCATGCCTTCATCCAGTACTTGGTCCAGTCACCAGTGCTGAGGCATTGGTCATGAGGTCTCTCAGGAGATCTTAGGGGACTGATGTCAGGGGACTGTCTACGGCACAAAAAGGGTAGGAACAGCGTACAACCTTATCTTTTTACTGTAATAATGGAAATCTTGCCTTTATCCAGCCCCCATACAGTGACCATGCCAGGCCAATGGTCATGAGGTCTCTTAGGGGATTGTAGGGGGCTGATATCCGAAAACTGTTTAGGCAGGGCCGCCTAGTGATCTTGAACACCAGCCCGTCAGTGCCCCAGAGACCTTCGCATCGGCAGAGACCTCATGACTAGTGTCTTAGCACAGGTCACACAACAAGATGATGGGTGGATGAATGCTTCCCCTAGAAAATGTTCATCAACCTTTAAAGGGCAACAACAGACACTATTCTTTTCATACTACTGGAGTCCCTCTTAGCCTTCTACAGCTTGCTTCCAGTGATGTTAACTTTTCTTGCTTCCCATTTGTCTGTATGCAGATTCATCATAGGTTGGGTTTTATAAATTAATAATCATGGAGAGGGGGCAGAGACACAATACCCACACATGCCCAGCAAGATATACTTCCCTTTATTTTTTGACTCTGCCTCTCCATTCAGCCCCAGAAATCAAGGGAAATACCTGCTAGTGCTGAGTATGGAGGCATATGTGACTAGACCATGTGACAGCACTGTCACAATGGAACCTATAGCCATTTGTGAGCAGCAACTTTGGTGACTTACTGGCTCACATAGGGCTTTGCTTTCACTCCTGGTAGCAGGACAGAGTTGATTGGGGAAGGGGGTGACAAAAAAGGATGTTTAGG